CGCGGAGGAGCTGCCCCCGTGGAGCGCTCGGGGAGCGGGGCGCGCACCGGGGTCCTCGGAGCGCGTCCCTGCCCCCGCCGCGCCTCTCACCCAGATACTGTTTTCAGACTCCTTTGGAAAAATCAGAAGGCAGATTCCTCTCCCAGCCTTTATTTTATCCGCCGTCACGTATCCCATCGCTGTGGCGGCTATATATTGGCCCTACAAATGGAGAAAGTGATCCGGGGACCTATTTCTTGGTTATTTAGTAAAGCAATTAAAAGTTCAGTGAAAATTTTGATTTTCTTTATGATCTGGGTTGTTTTTTTTTTCCTTTCTACATTTTTTGTAATTAATCCAACAGGTGGAAATAAATATGCAGACCTGGTATTCATGTTGTTTCCATTCCTACTGTATCTGAGGGTCTCCTAATCTTGACTGTATTAATTCACAGCTATTTCTGTAAAACTAAAAAGTGCTATCATTTCTATTTTAAAGGTGACAGAAGGACCAAGGCTGAGCTCCACAAATGGAGAATTACATGTTCACGTTGCCCAGGCACCAAGCCAGCACAATATTTCAGTTGCAATCTGTAAACGGGGTAGTCACTCTCCTGTAGTGTTTCTGGATTGGTGCTGGCAGTCTGGAGATTGTGGGCAGAACTACCAACATCTTCACCTACCCACCTACCTGCAGCTATGTAGGATTTAGAGTTTGGAGGAGAGTCCAAAATAGCAATTTCTGAAACAGTACTGAAGCCTGCAGGCTCGTTCGGAGGGTACCTGTCCTCCTGCACGTGTAGGTCTCCGTAGGCTTCACGGTTAGCCCACATCAGGTTGCCCTGGTGCACTCAGCTGTCACCACTCGGGTGCATACCTCAGCTTTCCAAAACGGGCGTAAGGCGCGGATTGCTGTGCCTGTGCCATGAGGTACGAGTGGCGACTGCAAGTCTGCTGGCATGTGGTAAGCTGAAGGTCCTGCTTCACGTAGGACACGTCTAAATGAGACCACAGAGTGGGGAGAGACTTGGGGGAGTGGAGTACAGGACCAGAGAAATGCGAGTACACGGAATAACGAGAGTGTGCCAAGGCAGAACATGGAGCAAAGGCACGGAGGTAAGAGGCTGGAAAGGCATAGGGAGTTGAGGTTGCCAAAAACTATGGCAAGTCTACTTCGTAGAGTACAGCTTAAGGCAGTTCCTCACTCCAGGGGCCCCACACTGTTTAAGGGTAGCACGTTCCAGTATCTAAAGGGGATCACTTCAGTTAGGAA